CCCGCGCCGCGTCCGCCGCCGCCGCCGCGCCCGCCGCGAGCGCCTCAGCCTGCCGCGCCACGGCCTGCGCTGCACCAACGAACAACCCGCCCGGCGCCGCGCCGGCGCCCGCGCCGCCCAGCGCGGCGGCGGCGGCGGACGCCTGGGAGAGCAGCTGCTGGGGCAGCAGCTGCGCGGCGGACGGGGCCGCCGGCCCGGCCGCGCCAAACATCAAGGCGGTCTCGGGGTACAAATATTCGACCAATGGGTTGGCCGGCGGCGCGGCGAAACCGCCTGCGCCCGCGCTGCCGAGGGCGCGGCCGATTTGCCCCAGCGGATCCGCCGCCCACGCCGAGGGCGACGACGAGGCGCCGGCCGCGGCGGCCGCCGCGAGCGACTGGCGGGCGCGCTCGGCCTGTGCGGCGAGGAGGTCTGCGGCCGCCCTCAGGCCGTGCTGCGCGTCACTGCCGCCTGCGCGGCGCAGGGCCGGGCTGCGCAGGAGTGATGGAAATAGGATTGCAAAAATTATAAGGGAGGCTGCTTTGGTAAGTGAGGCGGTTGGCCAGCTGAGGTCCAGGTCCTCAGGACAGCAGCAGAGCAGCAGAGGAGAGCGCAGCACAACTTCGCTGCTGCGCGCGCACCACAAATGAACACTCGGCGTTCGTGGTGCAGCGCAGCAATCCAATTGCATGTTATATGATACCATTAATGATGATATACTGCACCTGTCAGCGGCCGCGCGGGCCAGGACGAGCGCCACTCCTTGCAGCACCCGCGAGGCATCCTCCAGGTGCTTGGGTGTTATCCAGCTCATTGTTTTCGTCCCCTTCTGCTAGGACGCGCGCAATGAACGCGATCAGCACAGATGGGGCTATAGAGCCGATGACCCAGGGCCTAGTTCAAGTTGGCGATCATCGCGCTGGACGAGTCCAGCGGGCACTATTGAAGCGCGATGATGGAGGCGCTTGATCGCTTCCGGTGATGTCTGTGCAAACTTTGCAGAGCGTTTGGGTGAACGTCGAGTGACATCCGGGTGCCGCCGAGTGTGTGCGGTTGGCAGTATGCCAAGACCGCTCCTGCTGCACACAACACGTGGTGCGCTGCCCGCCACCGCCGCCTGTCGGGCTCGACGCACCAGCTCACACCGCCTGCGCAGCGTCCGTTTACCGGCAGCTCGACACGGCTGGTGCCCTTGCCAGCGTTGTGGACGCCTGCAGCATGTTGCAAACCCAGCACCACAGTCAACCACCCTTGAACGGCAGCTCGTGACCGAGAAGCAATGGTGGCCTTCCAGCCTGGGTCCTTGTCGCCCGCTTGCTTGGAGGCGTTGCCTCTCGCCCGCCGGCCCACGCGGCATCCACTGCAGTGCTCACCCGGCGCGGCAGCCACAACTTGGCCAAGGCCGCTGCCGCGCGGCGCTCGGGCCGGTCTACAGTGGCAATTCAAGTACGTCCGGTGGTCTCGATGTCGCCCTTCTGCCTGCTACGACAAGTTGCATGCCCAGCCAAGCCGGTTCACATGGTTTGTGCATGGTTCCAGACCATGTGCCCTCATTCCAGCAAACGTTCCGCAGGTTGTTCGCTCAAAACATCTCAATCACCCTCGATTTGTAGCCAACTGTAAGTGAAACCACCGGGGATGAGCTCATGAGCGGTGTCAGGTGTGAGCAGCAAGCATTGAGATGCTTCGTTCAAGTGGTCGGGGTATCCGTGCTGCCCACACCCGTCCATCCCGGACTCGCATGCCAAATCAAATGGTGAGGATGACCGCGAATCCGCAGGAGCAGCGGAAGATTTTGAGCTGGCTTTAAAAAAAGGCGGCATGGGAGGCCAAGGCGCAAAGGTTTGAAGGTGCGTGTGCCGCAGGGGGGCCCTGGTGACTGCCAGGCGCGAGCCTGCAACACCTGCGCCCAGCCCTGTGCGAGAAGCGGGGCAGCACGTGATAAGCGTAGCTAATGAAAGCGCACCTAAACCACCTTGGAGTCGTAGTCGGCCGTCACCGTCTCACCGGGAATCAAAGGAACAGGTGTGCGGCAAGCAGCGGACGGAGTGCACAAAGCGAGTGGGGTATCCCTGCCCGTACCCGTTCCACAATGCAGGTGAACAATCTACAAAGTAGTTGCCTGCCACACTGGGTTTGTCACCTGGGCCTACTTCACTGGATTTGTCACCTTTTGTGTAGGTGACCCCCCGAAAGTGGTGGTGCCAGCGGCAAGGCCGCCACACAGAGCGGCTATTTTGCGACTTTGAACGACCACCAGGGAAGCCAACAATCCGTAAACAAACAGCTCAGAAACTCCCTGCGGTGGCAAGGTTGATCATTGAGCCGACAACCCTCAATTCCGCCATTCGCATCCATCGTCCGACCGGCTGCGATGCACTTATTCATTGCCAAATTCATCTCGGCTAATAGTGGTCTCTCAGGCGTCCAGAACAACATGGCTCGCAAGTGTTGGGTGGTTGCAGCGGGTGAGCATTGCAGCCTGCTCCGCTGAGTGGAGCAAGCTTTCAGAGGTCTCGTGCGGGCAGGCAGCAGCAGCTGCACGCAAGCAGCCACTCATGTTCAGAGGGCTGGTTACAGTACCCGCCATGCCAAGGCCAGCCGACATGCTGCAATGCACGGCTTCTGCAAGCAACCCACACCTGCGCCTGCCCCCGCCCCCTTCCCGCCCTGCAGCGGCCCTGCTCCTCGCGCCCGGGGCCCTGTGCGCACCCCCCAAGGCCGGCGGCCTGCCAGCGTCTGGCAGCCGCGCCCTGGGCATCCACGCCGTCGACACCGGCAGCCCCGGCATCATGGGGGCCGGCCGTTTCGGCCCGGCCGGCAGGGCCCCTACCACCAGCTTTGGCAGTGCTGGTTTCAGCAGCAGCCGCGGCCTGACCCACTTGATCCCCTTGTTTGGTGGTTTCAAAAACACCCTCATCACCCACAGCCGATTCCAGGTCCTCAACCCCTTTGCCGGCCTCACGTCCGGCCGTCCCCGCTCGCGCACGCCTTTTGGCGGCAGCGGCGGCTCTGGCAGCAGCGGCGGCGCGGCCCCCTCTTTCACCGACGAGGGCGGCCGCGGGACCATCTTCCGCCACCTAGGCGAGCAGGGCGCCGCCGCTGCTGACGCCAACATCATTGCCGCCGGCGGGCTCACGTCCGGCTCCAACGCCGATGACGCCCTTGCCAGCCGCCCTTACCGCAACCCAATTCTCGACTATGCCAGTGCGCCCACGCTCGCCCTGGCTGGTGCGCGCAACTACAGTCGCCCCAACAACAGCCGCCCAATCCGCCCCACCAACCGGACCGTCGGCAGCCTGGCGTGACTGGCAGGCTATGCACGATTGCGGCGGGTTGCAAGTGTGGGGTGCACGCGCTCGCCCAAATTCGCCCCAACACTTTGATGTATCAGGCAGGGCGACCTCTGCTGAATTTTGGCTGGGCAGCACCAACCCAGTTCTTGAGACCTGAATCTGCACCTGCACTCGTGTACCCCAACACCGTGTTGATTCGAGTGCCTTGGCAGCCACGCCCGTGCATATGCAAGCATGGCTGTGTGGTCATCATTCCTTTGTATCAGAAATAACATCGCACACCCACGAATCAATGGGCCTCGCCACAGTGACCGCACTTCGGCAATACACTTCCCTGCCCCTTACCCGGCAGCGCGCACCGTTTTCCCTTTCCCCTCAAGCGGCCCCAAGAGCGCTCTGAGCAGCAGGCGCCTCACACGCCGCAGAGGCTGGCGCCTGCTGCCGTGCTTGCGCAGCGCGGCGCCCGGCCGCGCATTGGCCGAAGCCGCTGCTGCACGGCGCTCGGGCCGGGCTAAGCCGGCAGCTCAAACCTTGCGCTTGCCTGGCCTCAATCTAGCCCAACTTCATACTGTGGCAATCTAAGATTTGCATTCCCAGCCAAGCCAGCTAACAGCAGGGCTGGTTGCCGCGCGCGCATAAGTTTCAGCCGTGTGGCCCCTCGCCAGGGATGACTGTGCGGACGTTTCGCTCAGCTCCCGCGCCATGTAGAATTACGTCAATCACTCTGAAGTTATAAGCCGTCGCCCTTGTGATCAACAGAATGAGCAGAGGACGTGTGCAGCAAGCATCAAGCTGCGCAAGGCGGTCGAGCGTAGCCCTGCCCGCACCCATCCCCTCCCAGACTCGGAAGACCCATCACCTGAGCATGACAGCGAGCCGGCCGGAGCAGGAGAGGGGTCCGAGCTTGCTTGAAAGAAGAATGGTGTTGGGGGACGAGGCCGACAGAGTTTGTGGGCGCATGTGCACAAGAATCGCCCTCATGCCGGCCAAGAGGCTGCAACGCCGACGCCTGTTCGTGTGTGCAGGCTGGGAGAAGCAGGTCGGCAGGCAGGCCTCACGCAGCTGTTCCACAATGCAAACAACACGCTCAGACCAACCCAAGCATTTCCTTGCATTGCGGTGATGGGCCTTGAAGCCGTTGCAGCACCTGCTCCCCTCACAGTTCCACGCTTCAGCCACCAGCAAACACCTTTCATGCGGCACAGCCTCGGTCACTTTCATGGACAATGACAGCAGCCTCAGACGGAATGCGGCCTCATTGTTGCCCTGCGGCCCGCCCCTGTGGCGCGCGGCGCCTGATGTGGCTGCCTGCGTGCGGGTGGATGGATCAGGTGGACACTGCGACTCGATGGTGGCCGCAACTGCCTGCGCCCTGTGCCCTCATGCCGCGGATGAGTGCATGCCCTTTCCCGGCCACAGTCATTGCAGCACCGTATGGGCCGCCACTGCCTCCTGCAATGGTGGCTCACCCGTAATTGACAGGGGCCGGTGACGCGCCAGCTGCATCGCAGCGGCAGGGTGCAATGGTGATGAGGTGAGGCAGCCACACGGGGAGGCTGTGCTGCACGTTTTATGGGGCCACCAGCGCAGGCTGTCTGCGATCGATTCTCTTCACAAACATCTGTAGCGAAGCAACAGCTTAGCATTCGAACTTTGAGCTTGTTATCCAAAGAAGACCGGCATCCGCTCTGATTCAAAGCCGTTCAACTTCAAGAGCACGCACTGACAGTCAAAGCCACTCTACTTCGCCCAAGCGTTCAGCTCGTCTCAACAAAACATGGCTCGCGGC